TACTGCGGGGCGGAACAATATACGCCCGTCGAATGTCATATAGTATTATATACTTTCTTACACTGAAATAAGATCTGCATCATTCCAAGAGTGGTTAGCTGATATGCTATAAAAAATGTACATATAGGAGGAAATAAATTACTGAAATGAACAAAGAACAATAACTTTTGCAAAAATTGTTGAATTAAAATTCTTTTAAGGGAGAAACAACTTCATATCATGATTATAATGTTTACCAAGTTTCAAAGAGATTAGTCGAAACATGTAGGAGATTGCCGGACAAACAAAAGTTTATGCTGGGCGGCTGGACAACCCTATACCATAATACTCCCGTCAAATTTGACGGGCATATAAAAACATATCAAAAGATCTTAAAATTAAATGACTCAAAATGAGCTTATCTAGGTGACTCGCATGTTCACAAAACTCTTGGGTTAATTTAGTTGCCTTAATCAGTAAAATAAAAGCTAGTTTACACAATTCATGAGCTAAAGGGCCTGTCACACACTACAGATGTACCTTGTCGGGACGAAACCGGAGCAAAATATTAACAACGTCAAGGAAATCGGACCGTAGCAATACTGATGTACATGTATAAGTACCGGCATTCACTTTGCGATACTGTTGAGTTGTTCTACCAATGTAAGAGCCGATGTGGTACCGAATACCACTTTTCAGTAGTTAGTACATGATCAGCGGCGCTTCAGTAACTACTTTGCTGGTATTTGGTAGTACTACTGTATCCCATCGTTACCAGTACAGTATACACTGAGGCCACTGGAGGTCGAGCCACCAATCAAATGTAGTCCCGTTGCTCGCTCCGACAGCACAACGATGAACATTTTTTGAGCAATATGTTAAAAAAATGATGTTTACATCCCTGTAGCTTGTATTGAACACTAGGTTGTTTTTTAGTTTGTAAATAATAGTTTATAAAAAATAGCAATTTGGTTTTAGAAATGATCGCAAAATGTTAATATCCCTGTAACACTAGCTAGCTGACATTAAATCGTATATATTTAGCTTATATTGAACACAAGGTTGTTTATTGATTTTTTAATCAATTGTTTAAATAAAATAGCAATTAGGTTTCAGAAGTGATTGGAAGATGGTATATCACCGAGGTTATATATATACAGTATAGTATCTATAGCTTGTACCATTTTATACTTTTATTTTAATATACACGATCTCATGATACTGACAGACTGACATTAGTATGTTGAAATTTGTTATTACATCACAAAACATCACAAAAGCATATATATATATCTAACATAATCTCAGAGCAACAGTATCACGCATATATATCTGAATTGACATTTTAGACGATATTAATTATTTGAGATGGAGACGTAATAGACGTTCATCAAATAAAACATGCAATCAAATCCTGTCAAACAATATCAGCCCTGAGCTATTTTATATGCACACAGATAATTCTCTGCCTGGTTTAAGACCACATAAAATAATGCATGAACAAATTGAGAACTATATGATGATTTCCTTTTTGATGACATTTATTGGTGCTAGCTCTGCATCACGATCTTTTAAATTCAAGATAACCACTAAAACTCAGATGGAAAAATCGGTCCCTGAAAAGGTCATTGTGACCGATATAAAATGTGTGGGTACAGGCCTATGTTGCTAACTGGCCATGGATGTGATGTGTTAATTTGTTCAAAAATGTAACCTTCAACAGGTTGGGCACAACGGCACACATGGGTAATAATCCTGCATTTGGGGAACATCTTTGTATGTTATGGTTGAATGCATTTCAAATCTAATCAAAATTTTGTACTTCACTTATGTTATTGAAAATCGCCATATCTATTGGTTATTACAAACAACTTTTGGTTGAACAGTTTTTGCTTTTGCAAGTATTTCACGACCTTTGAAGCCTTAGAAAAGTCGGGACATCTAAAATCACGAAAATGTCAAAACACGAAAAAACGTTCAACCAAAAGTTGTTTATAATAACCATACAAATAGCGATTTTTAATAAAGATAGTGAAGTACAAAATTTTGATGTTTTATATAGGATAGTGAAAGTAGATTTGAAGTGCATTCAACCATAACATACAAAGATGTTACCCAAATGCAGGATTATAACCCATATGCGCCGTTGTGCCCGACCTGTTCAAGGGACCACACATCAATGACACACTGCCTAAACTTCCACATATATCCAGGGCTCGCGCTGTCGGTAGCCATTTTTTTTATTGGCTACTTAAAATATGATGTGGCTACTAAATTGACTACTAAGTTTTTAAAAATGGAGAAAAATCTGTAACTTTGTCCAAGAAAACAGCCTGTCTATACTCATGTGTGTACTGTGGCTGACACTGATTGCGTAAACATAATCAGGGTCATCACAGACTAGCGTGCGCTGTACAACTGCGAGCTAATTATGCTGTTGTCTAAATTGTCAAGTCAATTATCAATCTTCAGATGGCAGGTGTTATAATTCGTGTACATTAATGGACAGTGAGGTCAAGTTAATTGGATGACCCATTGACATTGAGAAAACATTCTGATGAGCGAGTCACACACATAGGTGTGGTTTGATTTAATTGGTTTAGTATTGTTTAACATCTTTTCACCAGCTATGGTCAATTAAGGAAGGTCTCCCGCTGTGTGCAAGATGCATTCGTATGTGTTTTGGGAGGTTGTGATATGCTCCTGTTTGGGCTCGCACACATACATTTGGCGGTGCCGTAACACTGAATCCAACAAATTTATGGATTTAAAATTAGAGTACATGGCCCTCATTTACCTTATCCAGTACTGTACTAGTGATAAACATAAATATGTCTGATATATGCTTGATTAGAAAGTATAAGTATCGCCTGGAAACACCTTGTCGAAGTGCCGATTTTTCGGCTTTTCAGATCATTTCCAATGAGATATCGTATCTGTGTACTTTCGTAGTTTAAGGTTTTAGAATTTCAAGTGATCGAGAAAAGTTATTTAGCCTTGAAGTTATGCAGTTTTTAGAACAGCAAACCGTTCAAAATGTCTTCGACGGTCGCTTATATTAGGTGCCAATCGACGACACAGGAATGGCCAAGTTACATGCGATGTGATCCGTCACAGGTACTAGCCTCGTCTGTCAATACACCTATATTATTATAGGTGTATTGACAGACGAGGCTAGTACCTGTGCTTTCGTTTTATTTCGAAGGGTTGGTCAATACCGTTATAAATTCGTCCTTTTCCTTTCAAATGTGTTCTACTGCCATAAATTTACATTTGAAATGTGTATTCTTTTAAAATATATAGAGGTTTTTTTTTACATAAAACATGAATTACAGTGAATATATCTAAACCCAGGAAAAGTAATTGTCAATATTGCATTATAATTACTGAGGCATTGATTTGGATTTTTATTAGTTTTATTTTTAGATTGAAGGCACAGAATTAGATTATCTAAGCCCACATTTAAAGGCGAATATTATCTTAAAATTTGAACTTTTCAATCCATAATTTTATTCACAATTCCTGTCTCAAGAAAATGAGATAAAGTCTGATTTTCTCTGTTTTGAAAAGAAATCAAAAAGTTCTGGTGGAAATTTTCAGCATTTTAATGAATGTTATATTTTCTTATAATTACAGCCATATAATCAGAAATTATTTAAAAAAATATCACATAATGGATAAAATTATAAACATGATACATTTAACAAAATTTGAATTTAATACTAATAGAGTACTCCTTAACTCATTCACCCCTGAAATTTCATAATGAACTATTCCAACCTTTGAATTGGAAGAGTTCAAATGTGTCTTTAGGGGTGAATGGGTTAATATAAAATGTAGAATAGTATTGAGCTATCTTCATGGAATCAAAATTATGGCCCAGACAATGAATTTGAATGCCATGATCCTACACATACGGTATATATCTCTAAAATGTGTCGAGTTATCTTCAGCAATTCAGAAAATATAGCCCAGATAATCATTAAGGATGGAANAATGTTATATTTTCTTATAATTACAGCCATATAATCAGAAATTATTAAAAAAAATAATGGATAAAATTATAAACATGATGCATGATGGGCGGCGGCATACAAATGGCAACTTATGTTCAAATATTTTATATTATATATGTTAGCTGAAGAAAACTGCCAGTATCAAGCTGATGATGAGGACACAGTGACACATTTCACTCCTGGTTTTCTTATATCTAGACGGCTACGAACGTTGTTTGAAGATTTTCTTGGAGTGTCCTCTTGTTTTTCTGTGTTTATGTCAATTTTAAACATATTTGAAGTGACTATATAATCATACATATTATTCATAATTTTATATAAAATGTACATTAATCATGTCTCCTCTCATTTTACGGTGCTTCAATTTTGGCAAGTTTAATCTTTGTAGACACTCAGTATATATGTTAGATATTTTAGCCCCGGTATTAGTTATAAATAGATGGGCACAGAAAGTGGTAACATATTGACTGTTCAATATGATGACGAGCAGATTGAAAAGGTTGTCATTGTCGAGTGAAGGATAGCTTACATTATAAACTGACTTTCCAGTTAAAATTAAAGCCTATAAACAATGTAAAGAACATAAGTATTCTTTGTTAAACAGAAACCGGTCATCTGGTGCTACCTGTGTTTGTATCATACAGTATAACTATATCTGTATAAAGTGTATCATTGTATGGTAACGTCGATATCTTTAGCAATTCACCTTATCCCTTTTTGAGGGATGGTGTAAGCTCCTGGTTTTGATGTATCACTTTCAATCTAATTTATTAGAGGAAACAATACACCAATGTAAACGTGTACACTCGACTATTGAGTCACTCGCGCAAAACTGCCAAAAACACCCTAAATATTAAATCGTTTAATAAATGACAGTATAAAGAAGAAGAACAACTGTCAAAGTCGGTGTCCCGAATATGTATATAATTGTGAAGCCGATGAATGAAGAATTACACTTGAACGGGACGTAACAGGATTTAAGGGTAACATATAAGTCAAACTTACCTCTCTTCAAGAAGTTTTCGATTTAATCCCAATCGAAACACGTTAACAGACTATCCACCACATCAATTACACATCAGTCTGATGTCATTCAAACGTCTCTGGTCGCGGATCAAAATTAATCGATGTCAATGTGGCGCTTAAGTACCGGGTGCATTCGATGCCTTCTGTCTACATGTATCACTCTATATTATTTATCAATATACATTGTATTGTTCCATCAGCAGTTGGTCATAGCATACCCTTTATTCTATAAATTCAGTTCGAAGGCAAAAATGACAGAGTTACAGTTTTGAAAGTCATCACTGATAATTTTTAAAATAATGAACGGACAAGAAGCCTTAAAATATTTTTAGATTGTTTTGGAACTCTTTATGTGTGAAAACACAAAACATACATTTGGCGGAATTTGCAAATGACGATACTGCTGTCGTTGTACAACACAAATTGCGTGACGATTTTGGTAATTTGAAAACATGTTTGACATTTGTCAAATAGGCCTACTTAATTATATTTTCTTTGTATTTAAAAGCTCTTGCTTTAAAAAGATCGTTTTTGGATCGAAAGTTTTTTTTCAGCAAGATTGTGAGGATGGATTACACCACAGGGACACGGATCGCTTTACTTGTAATATTAAAAAAATACTAGGGGTTTCCTATACTAATATAATGTATTTATTAGTATAGGAGACCCATATTTTTTAATATTATAAGTAAAGCGACCAATGCCCCTGTGGATTACACTTCAAAGTTTACTCTCCCCACACACACAAAGTACCGAAAAGTCCAGTATGAATGGTGATATGTCGCTCCTCTCCTGCATACAGCGTTTCAAAAGTATCCAGGGCTAATCAGATTGGATCGTTTTAATCAATAGATAATAATGAATAAAATGTTTATGATGTGTGAGAAACAGAGAAAGTTGTCATTGCGATGTTGTTAATATTTTACTCATTAGTATCTATTTTGATCGAAACTAATTCCTGTGGCCTAATGTAATCAATAAATAGTACAACATCCTCCCTTGGACAGTTATCTTAAGCCATACAAATGAAGAAGAAATATCCTGAAAAATGTAAAATCGAAAAATGCTGAAAAAATTCATGTTAAAACCATTATTCAAACTGCCGAAAAATCGGAATAGCTTTTTTCAGGAAATTATCCTTATTTAAAAATTGGTGCTATATATTTTTACCAAATCCTAGATTTGTCCCTGTTATATGATTTGTGCTGCAATACACTGCAGAATACAATCAGAGACGTCTCTGATACATTGTATATATCATTATGACAAGTATATTTTTTGTTCATTTGATTGGATAATGGTATCCAAAATGTTTTATTCTGATGATTGTATTATTATGTTATGCATATTAATTTTTTTCTGCATTTGGCATAAGAAAGGTGACCTGATCATTTACACATATGTGGATTTGCTGGCCTTGACCTTTGATGGAATTCTGGCTTGACCCAGGTCAGTGATCACATGTCACTTTATCAAGATGGGAAAGACAGCCAAAGGAAGGCAACAGAAAGCCAGTGTAAGTGTATAGGGATCATGACTGTTAGCAAATTAAGAAAAAATGTACCACCAAGTCAAAATCAAATACCCTGTTGGCACTCAAATGAATTATTTAACAATTATGGACTTTTGTGATTTAATCTCTATCAATTTCACTTTCACAATTCACTAACCCAGAGCTGATTAGTTTTCCAGGAGAATAATCTACTTTGGTATATGGAACATGATGTTTAACATTTTTTTTTTTTGCACAGTTACTTTTTCAAAAAAGTACAAGTGAAAAGACATACCATTCAACTAACCAATAATTTAGGAGGCACGGTAGTCTAGTGGTAGGAAGCCGTGCTCGTGAGCGAAGGGTTGCAGGTTCGAGTCACGGCATGGCACTGTGTTGTATCTTTGAGTAAGATTCTTTACTCAGCTTGTTTCAGTCTACTCAGCTGTAAATGAGTATGTGGTTGGGCAGTGCTAGAATTGTAGAATTCTAGCTGTGAGCGCTGAAATGGCAGCACCGGCTGAATGCTCCCCAGGGAGTTGAGAAAGATATTGGCTGGTTGCAAAGGCCCTATAACCACGGATAATAATTTATGAACCGCTTCGAGACAACCTACAAACTAGGTTGTGATAAAGCGGTATATAAGAACCTCAAATTATTATTATAATTATTATACCAGTAATCTTTGTTTAAATTACCTACAGGGAGAACCGGTGCAGCAACCAAAGATATCCAACTTCTTTCAGGCAAGTACATACACATATAAGTGACTTTCTAGATAATTTTGGGCTGTCTGTCTGTCTGTCTGTCTGTCTGTCTGTCACATTTTAGTTTCTGTTCAATCCAGAATCAAGTATTTCAAAAAAAACAAAAAAATGTACCATTTTTCTGATTGGTGATATATATTGTTACTGAGAGCAGTATTGATCATAAAATTGTAATGGAAAAAAATAAAGAAATTATTTACATTATGATTCCACCCCTGCAAATTAAGGATCGAGAAAAAAATGTTGTTACCTATTGCTATATCACAAGAGGGAACCCCCTGCAGATTTGGGGATTTGCTTTTGTGCCCTCTATTTGGGGACACAAAAGCAACCAAAATATCTTTATATTTCTCTCTACTTCTAACTACCTTTTATTTCCTATCGCCTTACTTGGCAAAACCTCACTTTTGGTTTTAATGTTGAATGCTTGTCCAGGTAATGGGTTCTGTCCACAGTGAGATAGCACTATGAAGTCTGCATCAGATCCACGCTATCACAAGGAGGCAAGTACAACAACATACCCTGTCTCCGGCACACATATACACGCATGCACGCTTACACAACACACATGGAGGCATGTCCTTAAATTATCTTAGCTGTTGATAGTACGTTAAACAAAGTAAAACCAAACCAAACGTTATGATTCATTTTTGTATATTTGTACAGACTGGACCTGCTAAAGGCAAGGACCAAGTATTGTTCACAGAGCTTGGAAAGTCTTCATCATCGTCGTCCAGTAAACTCTCTTTAAAGAAACCCGTCGTAACAGTAGGAAGGAACCAATCTCCCGATATAGTTAGGTCAGAGGTCAAGTCTGTGAACCAGAAAATTAACCAATCCGCTGATAGTAATCTACAGATATGTGAGGATCAAGATGTCGTTGTGATCCCTGAAACTCAGATGTTGTTTAGCCCTAGTCCAAAGCGTGGTCATCAAGATACGGAGGCTGGCAAGCTTAACACAAGTTCCGACATTCTTATTCCGGACACCCCGGATGATAATAAGTCAAAGATAGACCAACGGAAGAAAATATTCCGTCGCAGTTTCTTGACTGGGTCGTCAAATTTGTCGAAACCTGCTGGTCTACCTCTTCGCGTAAAACCTATAAAGGCAACAAAACCTTCTCTCTCTAATGCCAAGAAAAATCTTCTGTCTGTTTCAGTGAATTTTAATCCTAAAACTTCTGACGAAAACATTTCTGAAAATTCTTCCGATAAAAAAGACGGCAGTGAAGTTGAGAATGATGAAGAAGATGCAGAAATCTCCAAAGGAGAGGCAGAGTTAGTCGACATGTATCTTGCACAACAAGAAAAAAGTGAATTTCATGATGGAGATTCCTGCGAAAAGTCAGAGGTCATGAAGGAAACTAATGTGCTAAAATGTGATGAAGAGCAGGTAAAGGGAGGTAACCCTGAGCAGTTTATAGAGGAAGACGAGTGTAACGAAATTAACACAGATAATGAATTTGACGAGGTAAAAATTGTTGATCCTTCGCAGACCCCTGTTAAGATTTATGATTCTAATATTCCCTCCATCAAGAGGATGAGTAAGGCGGGACTTTCCCCTGATCCTAAGCGAAATATGTCTGGGAAAACAAAATGGGAAGTTTTTGAGCAACTGATGGAGGAAGGCAATACTAAAGAAAATATGCAGCTAGATAAAACAGGAAGTTTTGAAGAAAAGGAAAATGTGAAGAAAAAGTTGCGAATGTGCGGTTCTTCATCTGATTTTGTGTCTAGCAAGAAACTTTTGGACAATACAGCATCTGAAATCTGCAGAAAAACAGATTCAAGGTCCAAGGGAGAAAACTCTAGGAATACACCATCGTTGAAGAAATTGAGTGACAAAGGTACCAAAAATTTATCCCAACAGCTTGGCTATCAGATGGGTGGTAGTCGGTCAAGGAAATCTCAACCGAAAAGTTCAAATGATGGAGTGAAAACGGACGACGTGCTTGGAGAAATACTTCAAGAATTGGTAACCACTCCGACTCTAAAATCAAAATCCCCTAGTTTTACAAACAGCACAATGAATGGAGTCGAAACATTAACAGACACTTCGAGAGGTGTGAGAAAGTCATTTGATTCACATAAACGTTTATCTGACAGAGCAGATGCAGGCACAAGGAGGAGCGGAGATAGAAATGTTGTGAATAGGTTGGATGAAGGCCATGAAATACAGTTAGTTCAAGGGAAGAAGACAGAGGTGGAAGCGTCGATGCCTAAAATATCACTGAAGAAAAGACAGTCTGGAGCATACAAACAAAAGTCTGTTGATACCAACAATAGGTAGGTAATGGCGAAAAATGAGGCGAGGGGCCAAAACGATTTTTAACTTAGACATTATTGAGATCCCCACCCTATTACCATGTAGACCTTTGCTGAGCATCAAGAGAAAAACACAAATACACATATTATCTTGTAAGCAATACGTAGGACTGATTTCACAAACTAGAGTACATTTTGGATACCTTTAATATGGATATATATATAATATATATACAGCTGTCAAACTTCCATTAATCATATTTTGAAGTTTCAAAATTCTTGATGTGTTGAACTTAAAACAAAGTCCAGATTATTTTTACTTAAATAACACTTTCGTTTTATACAAAGTACAAACTAGAGTCCATTTGGTAAATTTTGGATACCTTTAATACAGATATACAGTCTAACTTCCATATATCGACCTTTAAAGATGAAACTTTCTTCAGGTGTCAAACTCACAACAAAGTCCAGATTTTTTCCTTTGATTCATTAACACTTCATATATTAAGCAAAGCACAAGCTACAGAGTCCATTTGGTAAGTTTTGGAAACATACAAAAAAAAAAAATGTATAACATTGCCTATTTGTATTATATCTGTACAGTATGTACAGTGTATCACCCATACCCGAATGTGGTATTTCACCTAAAATGTTGTCCTAAAATTGTAGATCATTGTCAGCAGACATCTCGTTCACAGAGGAAGAACTTCAGTATTTTGATGACCTTGATAGCGGAATCCATACTTTTGTTGGTGGCGGAGCCGACTCTGAGGACACTGGTACGCCTCCTGACAGTGGAGGCCAATCATCGGAACTCTTCACTCCCGTTATACCAAAGTTAAAAAAATCCTCATCAAATTTCGTAAAAAAGAAATCGAAAGAAGTTAGAGAAATTACATCAGAAAATACTTTTTCAGACGAAATAATGGAATCTGATTCAGGGTTGGACCTGATGTTGCAGTGTTTGACTCCTGAACCCAAGAGGTGCTTGACCCCTGAACCTTTGACCCCAAGCATCCAGAGATGTGTGACCCCTGATGCTTCAAGCATTCGAGCGACTCAGAATATTAATGAGTTTCCCAGTCAGATGTCAGTTAAACATACAGGTGGGAAAGACGTTGAGATGGAAATCGAAGACGTTCCAACCCAGAGTGAAAGTCAAGAACTGTGTGAGGAATTTGATCATCTAACTCCATTTAAGGACAAATCAGATACCGAGTCTGACCTGTAAGTTTTTAAAAGTTTTTGATTTACAAGTTTTTCCAAGAGTTATCTCTTTCTGTGCTGCTAATAGGGACACAGGGAAGCGAGTACCCGGAATTTTGTCTCATCTGACAGACAGAAGTACCTAGAGTTAACTCATTCACCCCTAAAATTTCATTATGAACTATTCAAACTTTTGAATTGGAAGAGTTCAAATGTGTGTTCAGGGGTAAACAAGTTAATGAGTTAACTGAGCTTTTGCTGTAGCATGATGCTAAATGTATATAATGTGATTTGCTTAGTAAAACATTGCAATGATTTTGTATATAATCGATCCCATTTTTATTCAACCAAAACAAATTGGGATAAGGTTGGGTATATAACAATAAGGTGGGATACATGTTAGATAGGTGTAAACCTCTTCAGCTTCCACAATGAGGGAGAAAGTGTGTGAAACGTGACTGAAACTGCTTTGCTCAATTTATCTTTCCTTTTTTATGTATCAAAATAACTCCAAAAAGCATTCATTTGATTCAGACACACCTGTTATGATCATTACACACACTCTGCAGTAACTCGGAGATCATTTGACTACAGGATGTATATTTTGAGTTTGTGTGGATTTGGACTTGTATGAGGGAGTTTCAAGGTAGATTGGTAAATTTTGGTCAACATGTGAGAGTCTCCGTCCTAATGAAGGAGGATTGACAATCATGTGTCAGTCTGTCTGTCTCTCCTTCTGTCTTTCAATTTATAATTCTTATCCAGATGCTAATGTACAACAACAAAAAATGCTCAAATGTCAAACTTGGTGTGTTGTTAATTATATATTGCCCTTTTTGATTATAGCAGTGAAGAACAGCCACCATGTGTTCACTTTGGTCGTCACACTGTGAAGAGCATCAACAGAACCAGGTCTGGATTATAAATAAATTATTAAAATTTCAAATAATTATTTATGCAATGTCGCAAAGCATCTTATTATTTTGTTCCTGTTCTCAGCCTGAAAATCTAGGGTTACGTCTGATATGTGTCTTGGTGACTGATAATTTTAACGTGCTATGATCTATTGACAATGTCCGCTGATATATAAAAACTTTGTTTCTTTTACAACAATCATGAAACAAGTTATACAGCTTATATTAATCACTCTTGTTGGCCCGGATGTAAGCGCGTGAGGGGTCTTAGTGTGGGAGGTAACCAGAGTACCCGGAGAAATCGTAACCCACATGGTTGGGCAGGTGACTCCATACCTAAAGTTGCAATATGCGAATATTTTTCCAAATGTATATATATGTATATAAATGTAGAAATATGTAATGTTTAAAGTTATTTATCTAAATAAGATTGATATTAATTTTCAGAGACAATGTTACCTTGGAGCTAGAAGACTTTGCTGAGAAAATTCCAAGACTCTGCATACTTGAAGATTTCTGGTAAGACAAACACTGGCTTAATCTAATTCTTCATCAGGTTTCGTCTAATGTATTCAGATATCACAGTGTGTCTTAATAACCATTGTTAATTACTAGAACATAACTCTATATTGAGCTGTCAAATCATGATGGAAAATACATTATACTTCTAGTGATAATCCTGCAATCTGATTGGTTGAGACAAATTGTTCATTTCACACTGTCAAATACACTTCAGTATTGAGTAAATGGAAGGGTGCTTCCAAACGCCCTAGCAAGAGGTGACAGTGTGTGTGACAGTGTAAAATAGTGACTGCGCAAAGAAGATGCGCGTACGGTTCATTTCAGCCACTATAATTTTGCATTGCGACTCTTGCGCGTGTTGATCCACAGGCACTCCATGTCACTACCGTTGTTTACTCGCCGGTGATTAGTAGACGATGTAATATACGCTGGGATGAGTGATTTCAAAGTGCTTCATTCACGAAGTAGTCTTGGATAAACAATCGGCCGCCTGCTCAGTGAAGTAAATAAAACCAAGATTTGCAGATGTCAAGTTGGGTGATTGGGATAAACTTTTGACAGATAATGATTCTCAAAGCATGCAGCTGGTACCGTCAAACGAACATGTACAAAAGCAGTTATGATTGATATGAAAAACAAGGTTTCAGGGAGTGAAACTTAAGGACACCATCACTGATGTTGATATGAAAAAGATGTTCGGTAACCCAATTAACTTGTTATAACGGCCATGACATTTTGCTTTTAAATTTGTGTTATATCTTTAATAGTTCACTGTTATTATATTTTTGATGAAAATACAATATTTGTTACAAATTTAAAAACTTGGTAAGGTGCTCTACCAAAATTGTGAATTTTATGACTCACGTTTACCCCTGGGGAAGGGGGGAGGGGCAAAATTTATTATGGTTTATAATGGCAAATGATACTTTGAATATTACATATTGTTGATAACTTGATTGGAATTATAACCCTGAGTTGACAGTATGATACTTTGAACATTTTGAGCCAGCCCTACCCCCAAGGGCTGTAGGGTGGGGCCCAAAGGAGTCAGTGTGCTAAAATTTCTTCATTTTCCTTGTTTAGAATCAGAGGTGATAGTTTCAAATACTTTTCAGTTTTAAATCTGCGTGCTAGATATTGAATAAGGTGGTTTTATTGTTTTTTGTCACTTTGAATAGTACTTCTGTTCATGTTTTAAAGACAAAAATCAACTCTCTGTATAAATATATCAGAACTCAGATGACCGTTAAGGCCCACGGGCCTCTTGTTATGGAATACTTTTTAATTACAAAATTTCACAATAGTGACAGTGGTATTAACCTTTTCACTACTACAGATCATAATGGACCTACCCAGATCAATGCATGGTAGAGTTAATTAAAGTTACATAGGGGTGAACAGGTTGATATGGTTGTTTTTTTTGGTACTCTTTACCTAAACAAGTCAGGTTGAAGATAACGATTGTATTTATCATGACAGGTACGATACCCATATCACGGAGGGGGATATAGTACATGTGATTGGACAGTTTGATGATCACATGACCTGCCGCATCACTGACAAGTCGGGGCTGATTGTCGTGAACCCTGATCGCCTCCTCTCGGGAACCTCTGTGGTGTCGGGCGTTTTCTGTATGAGGAAGTAAGTTATCCAGCATTCATTTCCATTATGATGTGATCCATGAAACTTGTTTTTGTTGCAGCTCGCAGAAATGAAAATTTCAAGACTTGCTTCATATATATTTCATTCTAACAATCATTTTTACACGCCCATCAAGTTTTGACGGGAGTATTATGGTATGGAGTCGTCCGTCTGGCCGGCGTAAATTTTCATTTGTCCGGTAATCTTCTCCCTACATTTTTCGACCGATCTCTTTGACATGTGGTATATGTTATAATCATAATATGAAGTTGTGTCTCCCTAAACAGAATTTTGATTCAACAATTTTTCCAAAAGTTATTGCCCTTTGTTCATTTCAGTATTTGATTTTTTGTCCGGAGATCTCCTCCTACATTTGTTGCCAGATTTGTTTGAAACTTAGTAGGCTAAATAATCATTATATGTTGTTGTGCTCTTAAAGAGAATTTTGATTCAACAATTTTTGCAAAAATAACCCTTTGTTTATTTCAGTATTTGATTTTTGTCCAGCAATCTTCTCCTACATTATTTTGATTCGACGATTTTTGCAAAAGTTTTTGCCCTTTGTTCATTTCAGTATTTGATTTTTTGTTCGGAAATTTTCTCTTAAATATTTTATAGCATGGCAGCTAACCACTCTTAGAATGATGCAGATCTTATATCAATGTAAGAAAGCATATAACACTATATGGCATTCGACGGGCGTATATTGTTCGGCCCCACGGTACTCTTGTTGCACTATACAGATTGGTGTATGTCCGATGTTAAAAAATCTATTTCCTTGTGATTTCAGGTCTATACTTAACGAGAAGTTTAAAGTAAGTATATTTTACTACTGGATCTGTATAAGCTATCCAGGATATTTAAAAAGAAAAGAAAAAATCACAAAAGAAATATGTACAGGGGGGTGGAGATCCAATGGTGGTTTTCATAAAGATTAGCAAAGTTCAGCATTTCCCAGTTGATGGATTCTTTAAATAGAATTCACTAGTCCGGCCATAAATAAAAAGTAAAATGAATATACAACATTTGATATAGCGCCCTATTTAGTTATCATAAGCCACTCTATAATTAATACAATTAGCATATACATTAATCAATACAATTTTGAGAAATCGCAGGAGCTGCCTTATCAGGCGCTAACTACTAGTCCTAAGCCACCTGGCTAATATCTCCCTAGGTGTGTATGCCTGCGTGTGTGCTGGAGATGTAATGTGATAGAAGTATTACATCAATAATGTGTAGAGATGACCGTGACAACATCAACTGGGATTAATCAAGTGTTAACATGTTTTGACCCACTAGGTGGGCCGTCATCAGAACCTAATGTGTTAGATTCAAATTGATGAAATATCTTCCAATCACATGTTGGTAAAGTAATAAAGAGGCCTATTCACGTTGTTACTGTATACGGTGAAGTTTTTTTACTCCAGTTAAATATTCACCTTAATTATATGCACACTTTAATGAAGGCAAATTTATCAGTGGGCAAATATTAGTACAGAGGATACTCTATATGATTATTATATTTTCCTTTTTTGTGGCAATACATTTCTATGTCATTTATGAGAGCATAACTGCCATTGCTAGTTGCAGTGTATTGATACATAGTCAAAGTACTGCTGCTACAATTGTACGACTACTTATGTCGCATATTAAAAATATTTAGAACATTTCCTGGCTCTTTATTTTATGTTGATTTAATTTATGATTATTTTGTTCATTTCAATATTATTTATTTTCTTAAATCAAAAACAAATGGATTATATATCCAAGCTTTTGTTTTATATTCCAATTTTGTGCGAGAATCAGTACATAATGTCAGCTGTTCTCCTGTTGCTGTTTTAGGTATTGACCTGGCCTTGCAGATAATAACTGGAATTCTTTTAGGGAAAACCATCAATCCTTATTGCATTTTATATATAAAAATGAATCTTATTGCTTATGTATGTACATGAGGAAGGGCAATATGGATTTTACCAGTGAATTATGAATATTTGACTGGGCGAATGTTTCTTGGTATACAGAATGATTTTCAGTTTGTCGTTTACAGGGATGTGACCGAGGAAATGTTCAGATGTTGTATGGGAGCATCATACACTGTTTGTTTCAGCAGGTAAATATAAGTTTCTTAGTAAAGATCTAAATGTCCAAATTAAGAATTTGTTAGGAATAACATATCTCAATAAATGACTTTAAATACTTTTTATATTAAGCTCCCAGATTCAATTTAACCATAAGAATTGACAGTAAACAGACATTAATTATGCATGTTTATACACTTTAGTTTAACTACACAGCTATGGTAGTTTAGGGCAAGAATAGTNTTTGGGGGGGGGGGGGGGGGGGGGGGGGACCTCAAAGCCTCTATTCTGACCCAAATTCAACATTCAACATGCACCGCCCTCGAGTAGAATTTCCCTATTGTGCATGATGTACCTTGGTTTGGTTTGTTTTGTTTTACCTGCTATTAACAGCCATGGTCATTTTTAAGTATGTACAAGGCTTTGATGGTGGAGGAAAGTCAAGAGTACCCGGTGAAAACCATGGACCTGCATACAACATACCTACATATCATAGACTATATTAGTAAAACTAGGAAATGACAGAAAGTACCAATAAATATTTTGAAATGTCTTAGCCAGCTGATAATAATTATTTCAGATTTGTATGTGCTCAATGTTAATCAATAATGACCCATTTTCTTTGAATTCTAGGTCCTGAAAAAACAGATACAGGATAAGGCGAGGATTTTAACAGAAGCTGAACTCATCATAAAACAGAACAAGACTGTCCACGATATGTAAGTCAAATACAAGACAGGAAATATCAAAATCATACAGAGAATTTGTTTGGATTTTTCCAACGTTAATGAAATTGTGAACAAGGGAAGAATTACATCTTAACATCAGCAGCCGTAGCGAAGTGTTATACCGTGTAGCAGGATATTTTCCCGGGGGATGACATTTTTCGCGATTTTCGCGGGTCAATAACATTTTCGCAAAATTATGATCCGCAGAATGATATGATAAACATAAAGATGAGCTGCAATGATATACTTCATTATAATCTTAATGTCGTCACGAAATAGTAGGTGGTTATAACAATTGTAGCGGAACTGGACTGGGTCGATCGTCGGCGACCAGATAGCTCAATTGGTAGAGCATCTGTTTAGAGTTCGGAAGGTCTCGGGTTCGAACCCTGGTCTGGCCATGCATTTTTCCTCTCCTGTTACACAATCATATACATCAAGAGTAATACAAGATGTATGAAAACTGGTCATATCGCACAATTTATGTAATTGTTTTGCTGATGATTTGTTCAACGAAATACCCTTACATATTGTTGCTTAATATGCCTTTGACACTTTATATGCTAAGTGTCGTGTCTCTATGCTAAAGCACTGCAATTTTTTTAGTTCCTTTACATGTCGAAATCGCAAATTTTTTATCTGTGTAAATTTAAAATTTTCTAATTTTCTATCATACCTGTACTTCCTATCAGATTGGAAGCTTCAACAGTTTGTTTTTAGGGAATAACCCGACTGTATTTTGATATTTGCTGTTGCAGAATATTGTGATTATACTATATTACAAATCCGCTTTACGGGTCCGTTCCGATACAGTATAGCCATTGTTTGTGATGTCATAATCAATATCATCAAGTATTGGGCTGATTGATGTGGTTAAAAATCCCAGCAATTACGAAATCCCTGGTTATAATGTCGTAAATTATTTCAATCGACCAATCAAATACTGTTTTACGTATCTCAAATGAAATAGAATTGTCCTTGAACAAGAAGACAAATTCATCACAGACTAAAATAACATATATACAATGTATCCATATATGAATTTTTGACTGGATGAATATATTTTAAAAGGCCAGATGAAGACTCTTGATCTTAGTAAATGTGCTAGGATATAAGGATTGGGAGGGGTCAACTGCACCAGGTGGTATTAGGACGAGGAATAGTGATAAAGATAGTGCCGTCGCTGGGGCTCGAACCCACTACCATTGGGTCTCCAGACCGATGCTCTACCGCTGATCAGCTAAAGGGAAATTCCCTACAGCTGGCGCTTGTAAGGCAATCCAATCAATGCACATCTTTTACATATATAATGGTTTAGGCTTATCTAATTAAAAATGTATAAACTAATCAGTTACGTATATGTAAGTCAAAAAATGGGTCAGTCTATACAAGTTTACATGGAAGAATGTAATGAAATATAACAAATCCTTTAACCAGGTATGGAATGGGCGTGACAGAAGGCGAAGTACTGGAGGAGATAAAGAAGTACATCCCTCAGCTACAGAAGTGGTTAGAGCAGTATACCAGCAGTGGTCAGACCATGTTGGGGGCTCAGACGTAAGTACAACTACAACAGTGTATACAGTAGTACACTAGCAGTGGTCAGGCAGTGATAGGGGCACAGACGTAAGAACAACTACAACAGTGTATACAGCAGTACACTACCAGTGGTCAGGCAGTTTTGGGGGCACAGACGTAAGAACAACTACAACAGTGTATACAGCAGTACACTGTTGTAGTTGTTCTTACGTCTGTGCCCCTATCACTGCCTAACCACTGCTAGTGTTCTAAATTATACACTGCTGTAGTTGTACATACGTCTGAGCCCCTAACACTGCCGGACCTCTGCTAGTGTACTACTGTATACACTGTTGTAGTTGTACTGACGTCTGAACCCCTAACACTGCCTGACCACTGATAGTGTACTACTGTATACACTGCGGTAGTTGTACTTACGTCTGAGCCCCTACCACTGCCTGACCACTGCTAGTGTACTTCTGTATACACTGTTGTAGTTGTACTGACGTCTGAACCCCTAACACTGCCTGACCACTGGTAGGGTACTGCTGTATACACTGTTGTAGTTGTTCTTACTTCAGGCAGTGATAGGGGCACAGACGTAAGAACTACTACAGCAGAGCATAATGTAGAACACTAGCAGTGGTCAGGCAGTGTGAGGGGCTCAGACGTCAGTACAACTACAGCAGTGTATACAGTAGGACACTAGCAGTGGTCAGGCAGTGTTAGGGGCTCAGACGTATGTACAACTACAGCAGTGTATAATGTAGAACACTAGCAGAGGTCAGGCAGTGTTAGGGGCTCAAACGTAAGTACAACCACAACAGTGTATACAGCAGTACACTGTTGTAGTTGTTCTTACTTCAGGCAGTGATAGGGGCACAGACGTAAGAACTACTACAGCAGAGCATAATGTAGAACACTAGCAGTGGTCAGGCAGTTTTAGGGGCTCAGACGTAAGTACAGCTACAGCAGTGTATAATGTAGAACACTAGCAGAGGTCAGGCAGTGTTAGGGGCTCAGACGTAAGTACAGCTACAGCAGTGTATAATGTAGAACACTAGCAGAGGTCAGGCAGTGTTAGGGGCTCAGACGGAAGTACAACTACAACAGTGTATACAGCAGTACACTAGCAGTGGTCTGGCAGTGTTAGGGGCTCAGACTAAGTACAACTACACCAGTATATACAGCAATACACTAGCAGTGGTCAGGCAGTGATAGGGGCACAGACGTAAGTACAACTACAGCAGTGTATAATGTAGAACACTAGCAGTGGTTAGGCAGTGATAGGGGCACAGACGTAAGTACAACTACAGCAGTGTATAATGTAGAACACTAGCAGTGGTCAGGCAGTGTTAGGGGCTCAGACGTAAGTACAACTACAACAGTGTATACAGTAGTACACTAGCAGTGGTCAGGCAGTGTTATAAATAGGGGCTCAAACGTTTTATGTAATCCAGTCCATTGTCAAATCTTTTGAAAGATTAATCCTGTTTTATTTTCAGAAAGAAGCAGGGGGATGATGATGTCCTCATCACGAAGATCAAGGACATAGAGGAGAATATCTGGTCACCAAGGTAACATATATCTGGTCACCAAGGTAACATATATTTGGTCGCAAAGATAACACATGTTGTATCACTATCGGTAATAGCAGCCTATTTATCTGTATTAGGTTGCCAAACCTCCTACTTCACTGTATCTAGTTACCAAGTAAGCCATATCTGTTCGCCAGTGTAGTATTATCTTATCACCATATATTGACTCAAATGTGTTCGTCAAAGTTAATCATATTAGCTTACTAACGCAACTCTTTCATAACAAAATTAAACCGAACCAATCTTTTCTGTCAAATGCAAATCATGGCATTGATAATAAAAATTGTCATCATAGTTAAGACTTTTGCTGTAGACAGGTGTCTGTGATCACTAGAATGAATGTAATGGATTTTCTTTGTATTTACAGATTTGGTGTGAAAGGAAAGATAGATCTGACTGTGGAAGTAAGGGTGAGTAAAGGCTCTGCAACATGGTACATATCACAGGCTTTTTACTATGGAGGGTTTCATCAAACTTTTCCGGTTAAGTTGTTCGCAGTGTATAAATACTTCACACTCTAGGTTATATAGTCAAACCCAATAGACATACTGCTACCACTAACCACACTGGTGACTACAAAATTCTGGCTTTCCTCATATCATGGTACTATAACCCAACCATGCTGACTATCATCCAACAATAATTAATGCTGACATTTTACTGAAATTAAAAGTCAGCGCGGTTGGTTAAAAGTCAGCACGGTTGGTTAAAAGTCAGCACGGTTGGTTAAAAGTCAGCACGGTTGGTTTATAGTCAGCACAGTTAGTTTATATTCAGAGTACTGGACCCTGAAGATTTTACCTGTGTTCCTCCAGCACTAGCCATGCAATCCACCATTAGGTCGCGGGTTCGAGACTTACGTGGGGTAGTCGCCAGTTACTGGCCGTCGGTTGGTGGTTTTTTATCCAGGAACTCCGGCTTTCCTCCACCACCAAAACCTGGCACGTCCTCAAATGACCATAGCTGTTAATAGGACTTAAAACACAAACAAACCAAACAAAAATAAAGCTGGATTATATGGATCGGAAACTGCAGGTGGACTAGGGGTTTTATCCATGTGCGAGTATTGAATAATTAGAAAACCTTGAAAACAATATGTGATAAACTGTTTATCATCTATGTATACGTACTACTACCAGTGATAAATGTAGACAGATTTATACCATATATATACACATAGATTAATACCATATCTTGTTACCCACTTCTAATAATCGTTGAGATCCTCAGCCACAGACAAATGTAGACAGATTTGTGTGGGAAAATACCATCAACTGTAAAAAGCTATGGAGGGACATTTTGTCATTAGGTGTGCCATGTACATATTTACGCTTAAACAGTGTTGTTTTTAATTTCCTCACAAGATTTTTAATTCATTTTATAATGAATTGTTAATGGTGGACCATTTTCTTATGCTGTGTACTTTTAATTAATGGATACTTTGTTAAGTCCATGACATCATGTCATATAGCATGAGCCGGCTCTATGTGTTGAAAAAAATAATTCCAAATTGGAAATTGGGTAAATCCATTCTCAAGTCAATCTCAACTTCTTGACTTTTCTCATACTGACCAATCGTTAGGGTCATAGAAGTTATTTGATAAACCAAAACCAAATAATCCAATATATCTTGCACTATTTAGTAGAAGGTGATAGCGTCTAATATTACCCTCTAAAGGTGATAGCGTCTAATATTACCCTCTAAAGGTGATAGTGTCTAATATTACCCTCTAAAGGTGATAGTGTCTAATATTACCCTCTAAAGGCGATAGTGTCTAATAATACCCTCTAATGAACCTATTCTTATTTAATCAATAACTTCTTATTTTACAGAAAAAGTCCCGACCAAAAGGTTTGGGTGAAAAATTGACAATTCCACTCGAGTTGAAAACAGGACGTCCGTCATTTTCTTTGGAGCACAAAGGGCAGGTAACTCTGTACAGCATGATGAGCTCTGACCGACGTGCTGATCCAAAACAAGGACTTCTGTTATACCTGAAGGAACCCAGCATGAAGCTCATTCCTGCCGACCACCTCAGCCAGAGAGGTCGGTTATTTATCATTTGGGTTAGATCAGGCTTTTAATCATTATGCCACCACCTCATTTGTGGAGGGGCATTGAGTGATGGCCTTTTTTGTTTCATGCAACCTCTTGATCATTAACATGACGCTTACTTACATTCTCTGCATCTAAGGAATAATATTTTTTTCTATTGAAAAATATAAAATCAAAGTTCACTCTTTACATAAACTGCTTTGCAATTTATTCAGAGTGCACTTCGGTTTTAAGTCTATACATCTGTCGTCGAACATGACTGGGTCGATCGTTGATGACCAGGTATAGGTCAATTGGTAGAGCATCTGTCTAGAGTTTGGAGGGTCCTGGGTTCGAACCTCGGCCTGGCCATTACCTTTTCTCTTTCTCCTGTTGCAAAATTGGGAAGCTTGCCAACCCTTGTATTAAGCATTGGGAGGACGCTTGGCAAGGGGATATCCGAACCTGGGTTGTAAATAGTGTTGTCTTCAGGGTCGAAGACTTAGAAAAAGGAGGGAGGAATGTAGCAACACTGTACTGTGTCGATCGTTGGCAACCAGTTAGCTCAATTAGTAGAGCGTCCTTCTAGAGTTCTGGGGGTCTGGACTCCCGGTTTCCTGTTCCATTTTCTCTTTCTCTTGTTACACATCAATAAGAAAATTTACTACCTAGTCCAGTCCTTAATTATCTTAGGTGTTTCAAGTTGGAAAATAAACATGCAGAAAGGTATGCCAATAAAAATAAACAATTTTAAAATATTGAGCAGAAGACCCAAGGCTTTGCAGAGGGTCTCCTGCTCAGTGTTGTATCCCTTGGGTTAGAATGACCTTATCCATATACCTCACATCAGGGATGGATTCTATTAATCTGTTATACGGTAAATGCTTAAATTGAACTTTTCCTATAAACGTCACGTAAGATTGTTATTGTTTGTGTTGTGATCAGGCTTGATACAGCTGAGGAATGAGATGGCGCATTTCCTGGACCAGCAGGTGAAGAGGTCAATCGAGGACGGAAAAACTGTGTTTAGTTTTGGCCGCCTTCCTGACCCTATCAACAACTCTAGGACATGTCCGAAATGTCCACATCTTCTGCACTGTGCAGCGTTCCAGAGGTAAGTTGGACCTTTAGTGATTTGTTTACTGGGATACAACATTCTTAGCCAAATACCAGTGACAGCAATCTTGCATGATGCTAATTTTAGATTAACTCTTATCTGCGTTTCTCCTATCATCCTCAGAAGAAATATAGGGAAGGTAGTATAGGAAGGCAATTTTTTTAATTTTGGAAAACATTTTTACTATGCTTATATATATAGAGCAGGAGTTTAACACTGCATATATCACTAAATGCCAATAAAAACTTAAGGGTAGGTAGAAAAATCTAGGGTAGGTAGCTATAGGTAGGCATTTTAAAAAAAATAATTTTTTTTAATATTTTTACTATTTATACTGTGCTGATATAGAGCAATTAAGAGTCCAGAATTTAACAGTGCATATCACTAAATGCCAATAAAAACTGTAGGGTAGACACACAAAACTCGGGTAAGTAGGGTAAGCAGAGTTTTATTTGCATAAGTTTCAGTCACTGGCTGCTTAATTATAATGTTCAGAAAAACATTTTTGTATGCTTTCCTTTTAAATGTTGGTTAATTGAAAAAGGAAAATAGTAGTAGCATCCTTGATACTCCAGGGGTTAGGCTCACTTTAAAACGATCTCTGCACCTCTAGAATATGTCATGACAAAATCGAAGGCACACATATATATACATGTACAGTTAGCAATTTGATTGGTTTCAGGTATAAACAAGTCCTGACCAATCACAATGCTGCCTGTCCTTTAATAATTATAGAGGAGTGACAGTGGACTTAAGAGCCAGTAAAGTTAACCGTTACACTGCTGCTCAGTTCTTTTGATGAACATGAATATCAAAGGATCACACTAGTGTACTTGTATCATCCACAAGGGGGGGGGGGGGTTCGAGTCACGGCACGGCACTGTGTTGTATCTATGAGCAAGATACTTTACTCAGCTGTAAATGAATATGTGGTTTGGCAGTGCTAGAATTGTTGAATGCTAGCTGTGAGCACCGAAATGGCAGCACCGGCTGTATGCTCCCCTGCAGGGAGTTAAGAAAGATATTGGCTGGTTGCGAAGGCCCTATAACCACGGATAATAATTCGTGAACCGCTTTGAGACAACCTAAGAACTAGGTTGTGATAAAGCGGTATGCAAGAACCTCAAATTATTATTACTGTTAAAATTTCATGTTACACTGCTGCACAGTTATTTTGATGTACATAAAAGGATCACAACAGCGTACTTGTATCTTCCACATGGTGGGTAGGATCATACAGAGCCTTCAATTTTGCTTTGTCATATTCCAGGGTGGCATAGAATGTAAGTGAGCGTAACCTCTGAATGTAGCAGTAAATATCCAGGCTAGAAGTCACTTTCACTTGCAGTAAAAAATAAATATTGTATAAAGAAATACCATCTCTTTTATTCAGTTCATTATATATTAGTCCGAGTTTCCTCTGGCCCCGACACCAGGCTTGGACATTTTGACAGATAGATGTCTGGTGTTACTAGCCCGAGTTTCCTCTGGCCCTGACATCAGACTTAGACATTTTGACAGATAGATGTCTGGTATTACTAGCCAGAGTTTCCTCTGGCCCTGACACCAGGCTTAGACATTTTGACAGATATATGTCTGGTGTTAGTAGCCGGAGTTTCCTCTGGCCCTGACACTAGGCTTGGACAGTTTGACAGATAGATGTCTGGTGTTACTAGCCAGAGTTTCCTCTGGCCCTGACACCAGGCTTAGACATTTTGACAGATAGATGTCTGGTATTACTAGCCCGAGTTTCCTCTGGCCCTGACGCCAAGCTTAGACATTTTGACAGATATATGTCTGGTGTTACTAGCCGGAGTTTCCTCTTGCCCTGACACCAGGCTTAGACATTTTGACATATAGATGTCTGGTGTGGGGCCAGAGCGCACTGTTATATGAAAACGTGAAGTTCTCTGAAACTGTTTGGTATTGGAGAGTTTTGAGGTGCTGACAACAAAAATTGACTATGACACAACACATACCTCACATATATCGATATATGGGTTATTTATTGTTCAACAACCGCTCTTATTATCACCAATAGCTGCTTAATCCCGTCAATAGAGTCCTCAATTTTCAATCGTTCAAAATTTCCCACCTGAGTGAACGCCATTTTTGTAGGTCATGGGAGTGACTAATAAACAAGCCGTACTAATCTGGACCGAAAATGGAATACATCATTCTTGCTTAGAAGATTTCAAGACCGCGTCTTTTGTCGATAAGGCAACGTCACTCCCCAATAACAAACAGTGTCGGAGAGTTTGATGTTTTCATATAGCAGTTCGCTCTGGCCCCACACCAGACATCTAAGGTTATCTGATAAAATGTCTAAGTCTGGTGTCAGGGCCAGAGGAAACTCAGGCTAATTGTATATCTCTAATTATATATCTGCAAAGCATTACAATGGCAATATGAAAATAGAAAATTACAGTTGATACATGTGTACATTAGGATGTGGTTTTTCGACACAAATACCCGTTGGTCTCTAAGAATAACACCTTTCTCTGGACAACAAATATCCATGTTCACTCATTCACCCCTGAAGACACATTTGAACTCTTTCAATTCAAAGGTTGGAAAAGTTCATTATGAAATTCAGGGGTGAATAAGTTAATTTGATAAAAAGTCCAGCATTATGTAATGTTGCTCAAGAGTTTTGTAGAGAGAATACACTGCCCCAATAGTTGTCTAGTTTTTAACTTTATTGCTTTGCTACCAAGCTTAAAACATAACATAATAAAAAAAAATGATACTATATACACTTATTTATGTATTTTACAACAATTATGAAACAAGTTATTTCAACTTGCCGGGTATATAAATTACTCTTGTTGGCCCGATGTTAGTGTACGGGGATCTTAATTTCAACTTGCTGGGTATATTAATTACTATTGTTGGCCCGATGTTAGTGTACGGGGATCTTAATTTCAACTTGCCAGGTATATTAATTACTATTGTTGGCCCGATGTTAGTGTGTGGGGACCTTAAAACAAAATTATTGTGTAGTTATTTAATGTAGAAGGGTGTACTGCAGGGAATTCTGCTAAATTTAAAAGTGTAAATTGGGTGTAAATAGATTTAGCTACTTTTCTCCCAAAATAAAGAGGCTTGATAAATATATCCAGATGAGAAATGTAAGTCACAGTTGTTTACTGACAGGGTTGAGGAGCGCAGTCTACCGTCCAGTCACGCAATGTCTACCCTGGTTCCCGACACGCTGGCTCATCTATCACCCTCCCACCTAGAGTACTTCACACACTGGTGCCTCATGCTGGACCTGGAGTCTCAGGCCAATATTCGGTCGGGTCTAAGAAAGATCTGGTGTAAAACTGGACCACAAAGGTAAGTGAGATCTTCAACAAGTAAGGTCATATACAGGTAAGGTCATATACAGGTTAGGTCATACACAGGTACATTGTAAGGTCATATACAGGTTAGGTCAAACACAGGTAAGGTCATATACAGGTAAGGTCATACACAGGTAAGGTCATACACAGGTAAGGTAATACACAGATAAGGTCATACATAGATAAGGTCATACACAGATAAGGTCATACACAGGTAAGGTCATACACAGGTCAGGTTATACACCGATAAGGTCATACACAGGTAAGGTAGGTCATACACAGGTAAGGTAGGTCATACACAGGTAAGGTCATACACAGGTGAGGTCATACACAGATAAGGTTATACACAAGTAAGGTCATGATCATACACAGGTGAGGTCATACACAGATAACGTTATACGTTATACAGAGGTATGGTCATACACAGGTAAGGTTATACGTTATATACAAGGTCATACACAGGTAAGGTCATACTCAAGTTTGGCCATACACAAGTAAGGTTATACACAGGTAAGGTCATAAACAGGTTAAGTCATACACAGGTACGGTAATACAAATTATAGGTCACATACTGGTAAGGTCATACATAAGAAAGTTCATACACAGCTAAATCATACACAGATTTGACCATACACAAGGAGGGTCATATACAGGTAAGGTCATACACAGGTAAGCTCAGATACAGGTTAGGTCATACACAGCTAAGGTCAGATACAGGTTAGGTCATACACAGGTAAGGTCAGATACAGGTTAGGTCATACACAGATACGTTCATACACAGGTGAGTGGATGTGTTGTGACAAACAGCTGAGATCACCTAGAGGTGTCACTATTTCACCTCAATGCAGTTGTATTGCGTTTACTTGCATCAATTCACGATACCTTTAACGGATATTTGATACGTCATAATTAGACCAATAGTGTGTGCTATTTTAAGTTTCATTATAACACTTGTTTTGATTGGCCAGTCTCTCTACTTATAGTTATGACCATGAAACAATATGGAAACTATTTTCACAAAAACTTATATAGAGGACCATCAGTTACCAATGCAATACAGGTTTGACTATACATTACAGAGGTGTGGTAGTCTAGCGGTTGGATGCCAGGTTCGTGACTGAAGGGTTGCGGGTTCGAGTCACGACACGGCACTGTGTTGTATCTTTAAGCAAGATACTTAACTCCGCTAGTTCCAGTCTACTCAGCTGTATATGAGTACCTGGCCCCACTTGTATAAAACATCTCAACTCTTGAGATTTCCTCAAGTCTAAGATTTCCCATAGACTATACATTGCTTGAGATTTTCCTCAATTTTGAGATGTTTTACACAAGTGGCCCCTGGTTGGGCAGTGCTAAAATTGTAGAATACTAGCTGTGAGTGCCGAAATGGCAGCACCGGCTGTATGCTTCCCTGAGGGAGTTGAGAAAGATATTGGCTGGTTGCAAAGGCCCTATAACCACGGATAATAATTTGTGAAGCGCTTTGAGACGACCCACAAAATAGGTTGTGATAAAGCTGTACATATAAGAACCTCCAATTATTATTATTATTATTATCCTCGCTTTCACTGAAACGGGGGATATTAATTTGGGTTTATCTGTCTGTCTGTCACGCTTCGTTTCCGTGCAATAACTACAACAAATGTTAACCGATTTTTCTTCAAACTTGGTCTCATGGATAAATGCCTTCAGGATTAGGCCAAATTCGAAGTCCACTTTCAGTGGACCCAATTTAGTGGAGTTATGGCCCCTTGAATAATGAAAAACATCATTATCTGCTGCGCTTCGTTTCCGTGCAGTAACTACAACAAATGTTAACCGATTTTCTTTAAACTTGGTTGCAGGGTTAAATGCCTAAAGGGCTCGGCCATGTCTGATGACCACTTTCAGTAGACCCCATTTGGTGGAGTTATGGCCCCTTGAATAATGAAATGCAGTTTTCCGCTTAATAACTCTAGCAAATATTAGCCAAATTCCTTCTAACTTGATAACAATGTTTGTGTTCCTCTGTCTTTCCAACCATCTCGGGCACTCTTTGGATTTCGTGTGATAATTGCTGTAGATATTGTTAAGATGTTTCAACCAAATTATTTATGCACATCCAACTCATGCTAAGTTTGCCAACCGATGTGATTAAATGTGCATATTTACGGATAATCAATGAGGTATAGGATTTTGTTTTCCCCTTCAAGTTTCAAGCTATACATTATGTCTCAACAGCACGATACTCACATGTTTAAACCTAACCTCAATAATGTTAACCTACAATATGTCCTGCAAGCGGGGGATATAAATTCCACGAATTTGCTTGTTATTATTATTATTAAAGCTGTAACCTCATTGCTTGGCTTGCTAGGGAGGCTCTAGGAGAGTGCATCTGTAGACTGACTCTGGTGATGGACGAAAACTCAACTACCAAGTGTTCACTGGTTGATCAGAAATCCACTGCTGATGATGAAATGTGTTTCATCAAATTTACAAGAAATTGGTCCAAAAACAGGTAAGATAAGTTGTTTTGGTGAAGTAAAATAAGATTAAATCTATCATATTCATTGAAAAACTGCATGTGCTAAAAAAAACAACCTGTATGCATGTAGTGTTACCCATCTCCCACTGGTCCCATCCCATTACTTTTTGCCCTGTTCCAATAAATGTCATTGCTCTAGTGAATTCATTTGTTGACAGATTTTAATCAAACATTATACAGAGGTCAAGTACAAGAATAACTTGAATGAGTTCTTATTGGAGGGTTCCAATAGGGAGGCTAAGGTAAAATTGTTACTATTTATAGAAATTTCCCAACCAACTCGGTGACTACACTCTAGTTACTTCATTTCATAGCTGGTTTCGATCAAATTTCATGCGAAGGTCAAGTATAAAAGTAACCTAGAAAGAGTTTCTATTTCAGGTTTCCAAGGTGAAGACCAAGGTCACAATTGGTAGTTATAAAAATTTGTGAACCAATGACAGTAGTTTGCATGGCAGTAGGGGCAGTCATGTCCTAAAGTCATTTTCCAGTTCACTATCAATCTCATCTCATGCAAACTGGTCATCCCATTGTGGAAAAATGTTTTATTTTTATTTTTTATCTACTTTTTTTTTTTATATAAACTGTTTTTGTATGTGTGTTTTTTAGGGGATTTTCCAAGGATCTGAGAACCGTAGGGCTCATGTCTGGAGACTATGTCATTGTAAGCTCGGAGGAACCCAGTATGATTGCTGTCTGCATGGGGACACTACAAAACCTGGGTGCAGACACTTTGGAGCTGGTCACAGAAAGGTAGAATATATACTAGAGTACTTTCTCCCTTGCAAGATTTCATATAAGTCTAAAACTCCTCTTTGACATGAATGAAAAAAAATCATAATAATAGAGGTTGTATTTTAATTTAAAGCCCCTATCATTTTAAAGGGAGGGGACCATAAAAGTAATGGTTGCTTAGTGACTGTAAACAGTCAGATGCCTTTTTACACTTAGATACCGCAGCCCTTTAACCCTTTCACCACTGTAGACCATAATGGACTCTTTCAAATCAATGGATGGAAGAGTTTACTAAAGTTATGTAGGGGTGAAAGGGTTGAGTCATCCCAAATAACGAGAAGTTGTTATGCAGTGTATTTCCTCGATCGTTAATAACTTAACAAAAGTAAGAGTCAGTATTGTTAATGAGGTAAATGTTTGGTTGTGATGACATTCGTAATTTCTGTGATTCAGTGAGAGTCTACCACGACTGGCAGAGATCCGTGGAGTGACATTTCGCCTGGACAAATATGATGGGTACAGCACCTCAGCTATCCTGTATACAAATTTGTCCCGTCTAATGGCCGACAATCCCCGCAGGTAAAAATTACTGTTTCTCTTTAGAGTTTGCCCCGTCTAATGGCTGACAATCCCCACAGGTAAAAATTACTGTTTCTCTTTAGAGTTTGTTCAGTACAATGGCTGACAATCCCCGCAGGTAAAAAATACTGTTTCTCTTTAGAGTTTGTTCAGTCCAATGGCTGACAATCCCCGCAGGTAAAAAATACTGTTTCTCTTTAGAGTTTGTTCAGTCCAATGGCTGACAATCCCCACAGGTGAACATTACTGTTTCTCTTTAGAGTTTGTCCCGTCTAATGGCTGACAATTCCCGCAGGTAAAAAATACTTTTTCTCTTTAGAGTTTGTCCAGTCTAATGGCCGACAATTCCCGCAGGTAAAAAATACTGTTTCTCTTTAGAGTTTGCCCCGTCTAATGGCTGACAATTCCCGCAGGTGAAAATTACTGTTTCTCTTTAGAGTTTGTCCCGTCTAATGGCTGACAATTCCCGCAGGCAAAAAATACTTTTTCTCTTTAGAGTTTGTCCAGTCTAATGGCCGACAATTCCCGCAGGGAAAAAATACTGTTTCTCTTTAGAGCTTTTCCCGTCTAATGGCTGACAATCCTCCCAGGTAAAAAATACTGTTTCTCTTTAGAGCTTTTCCCGTCTAATGGCTGACAATCCTCGCAGGTAAAAAATACTGTTTCTCTTTTGGCCTGTTCCATTACATTATCTATTTTTAGTGTTGTATGGTGCTAAATCGCTCAAATTGTCAATGGGCTGTAAAATACTACGAAAACATGTCAATTTCATTATGAGTGCAGAAAACTTAACCCTCGGAATTTCCAGGGTGGGGTTTGGTATAAACTTGATATATATGTATTAGTTAGGTGCTGAAGCCTGAAGGTTCGTTTCAAACCTGTTTTGATATATAAGGAACTCCATAGCTTGTTTTGTATCCTTTGCAGTGTAAGATTGCGGTCTTTGATAATAGACAGATCTAAATCTGAGTTCTTGCCGAAGCTTTCCAAGTCCGACATTGAAAGTGGTGAGTTATTACTGTTTATGCTGTACATCATATCTGTCAACTCTCTCTCTCTCAATTTAACCCTTATACAGATCAAAGCTGACGATAGTGATGGACAATTGGTGTAAAATCATCGTTGATAACTGATCAATAATTGATTGCATAATTGGTTAATAGTTTACACAAATAAAATGACATCAGAGTTGTTAACTAAAAGTTAGAATTCCTTTTTGTCTCGCCGCCACGAAGTAGCCGAAGCAAGACTAAGGTGTTGCTTTTCTGGCGACGGCGGCGTCAGCATTCAGTTTTTGCGTTTAAATTAGTTTCACTGAAAGTATAAGTGCTAGACCAACCAAACTTGGACCATAGATGCATCTTAGGTAGTACATCTCAACCCATACATCAAATGTTGGATGCAGCCTACCTTTTATGGTCCATTGACTTTGTCAGCATCTCCATCAACATTAAGTTAGTTTCTCTGATATGTGCATTGAAGGTCAAAGCGGGGCATGTACAGGCGAGACATATCAATCTGAATGGCCTGTTTTAAAGACAAATGTCTCGTAATGAATTTTATTTCTAATATAGAAAGAGGATTTATTATTTTTTTCTTTTCAACAGTGAAAAAGATATTCAAGCCGCTAAACAAGCCACAGAAAATGTCAATACTAAAGGTAAGTACGGAATCCGAGTTTAAAAAAGTTACAAAGTGTGAAAAATGATTTAGGATCGTTTTGTTATCATTTGAAAAGGCAGCAATGAACATCCTGTGATTGTTAGCTTAAAGCAATTTCAGAAGGATTACATCATTTCCGATAAAATTTGGGTACAAGTGACTAAAACTTCACATCTCTCATGAGAGTGTCAGATTTTTGGTGTTAACTGAGAGAATACATGTCTCCCTATTACCATAAACCCTTGTTATACCGCCACCTTCTGTCCATTGTGATTTTGGCGGTATACCGAGTTTGGCAGTTTATCAGGTTTACCGTTTTTAACCCAAGTGTTCACACACCAACTGAACTTATACTTTAAAAAAACAAAAAATCTTCAGAATATGTTTTTTTTCCAAAATTGTAATTTAATGTATCAAATTGTTGAGCGTGCAAAACGTACAGATGATTACCTGGTGATCAGTCAGAAGTCACATGTAACAATACAATGTACACACGTACGTAACATTCCTGTCATTGGGATATACTTGTAGTCGACTCAATCGGCGGTATTTAACGAGGTCAAAATAGTGTGATTTTAACCATTTGTTTTGGGAATATGATGGCAGATGGCGGAATGCAGGTTTGGCGTTACAACGGGTCCATTCACATTGGGGAAATCCATTCTGAGTAAATTAATGGCGGTATATGCGGGTTTGGCGGTTTAACGGGTTGCATTACAACAGGGTTTAACTGTACATGACATGCATATCAAATCCAAAGATAAAATACATTTTGAAAATGAAAAGTTAAAGTAAATGTACCGTATTCATTGAAGTAAGGGTGCCAAGCGTAGATAAAATAACGTGTTGGGGCATCTGTATAATATCTATACATGCAGTCACACAGCTTTACTCAAACATCAGACAAAAAATGATTTGTACCCTTGGCCTTTGATCTGGGGGCCGCGGTGGCCAAGTGGTTAAGGCGTCTGACATTCTGCTTCCACTAGCCCTCGAAAACTGGGTGGCGGGTTTGACTCCTGCGTGGGGCAGTTGCTATAGGTACTGGCCGTAGGTTGGTGGTTTTTTCTCCGGGAACTCCGTCTTTCCTCCACCAATAAAAACAATTAATAGGACGTAAAACACAAACAAACCAAACCAAAATCAAACAACATATCTTGGTGTTTAAACACTGCTGTAAAGACATGAAGGGCTCTTTATTTCACTCGGACTCCTTAACCACTTGGCCACCGCGCTCCCCTTCTGAATAAAAAGCTGTAACTTGTGGGACTTTGATGAAATATAAATAGAGATGATTTGATGAAATATGATCAACAACAGTGTTCTAGAGTTATGATTAGCATATGCTATGGGTATTTTTCTTTTCTTCTTTTCTTAAATTTCGTTCTACATGTTGTATTATTGTCTCGCTGCCACGAAGTAGCGGAAGCGAGACTAAGGTGTTCCTTTTTCGGCGATTGCGTCAACATTAAGTTTTTGCGTTTAAGGTAGGTTCACTGAAAGTATAAGTGCTACACCAACCAAACTTGGACCATAGATGCATCTTAGGTAGTACACCTCAACCGATGCGTCGAATGCTGGATGCAGCCTACCTTTCATGATCCATTGACTTTGTCAGCATCTCCATTTACATTAAGATTTTATGAGACATATCAATCCAAATGCCTTGTTTATTACTTTAGTTAAATCATTTTTTTTACAGGTTTTGATGAGTAAGGATTACATTCTTATCAAGGGCTTCCCAGGCACAGGTAAGTTAAATTCATTAGCAGATTTCAATAGAGATTAAATTCCATGAATTTCCTAGCTGAAGGGGAAATAATTGCTTTATTTGTGAGAGCATTCTTCTCTCTTCTCGTCAGTTCCCTAAATCAAAACACATTTCCAGTTGTTGACTTACAGTTTCATTGTTAAGTTGTAGTTCCCATATGGTTCTATTTAATTTCCCTCATGTTCGGTTAAATTTCCCTCATGTTCGGTTTAATTTCCCTCATGTACGGTTTAATTTCCCTCATGTTCGGTTTAATTTCCCCATGTACATTTCCACTAGCTTAAAGTGTTTGTGGCTAGTGCAGAAAAAGCGGAAATGTTTGCCCCGTTGAAATGGTTGCATAAATGTAGGACTCTTAACCCTTTCACCCCTATGTAACTTTAGTAGACTCTACCATGCATTGATCTGGAAGAGTCCATTATGTTCTACAGTGGTGAAAGGGTTGACACTAACTGTAACGTGGCAATGGCTCTGAAATCTATATGTTCTTTACATCTAAAACCTATAAATAAACATTTGCATGTGGATGTCAATTAAGGACTCTTGTTGAGGTGACTGTGTGGTTACATAGACCTGATCAGACAGTGATATTGACCGAGACACAGTATTAGATGCTGAATAAAGATTAAATCATCAGGAGGCTAATTAGCCCATTTAGCATAGAGCATCGTGACAATACATTGTTGACCTGCTGTTTCTAAAAATAGTAGCCCAAATCAATATCACAAATCACCGACTTCCACATGATTTTGATCCAACCAATGAGAATAATGGAAAAGTGTGTCTAATATTTTCACTTATTTACTTAACTTGAATAAAATGCAAGCATTTCCTTACCACAAAATGCAGATGGCTAGAAATGTTCAAAGTCTCAAGTGAGGAAATTGTTCACCTCTTTCAGGTATACCTGCCTGAAATGACAGAGTTTGACATAAATTAATCATCTGGTGTAATAAAATATTTATGGTCATTACTTTATAAAATAATGGTCATTATAAATCTTTAAAAAAATATATGAATTTTTAATGGAAATTAAGTAGCAAGACCATTATTGGGCACATCATTAAAGTTGTTCAAAAGTAATGGCCCTTTTTAATGAATTTTTAATTGGCAATTAATGATCTATTTGACAGTAGTGCATTCTGTACAGTTTTCCTTGCATGTTTAAAAACACTGAAAAATATAATCATTTCAAAAACATTTACACTTTCATTTGTTACTTTAAATTTTGATGTTTTTAAAGATGATTTAGTGTGGTTCATCATCAATATTTCAAGGGATATGCTTACTTACATTCTCTGCACCCCTGGAATATGTCATGACAAAAATGAAGGGTCTGTATTTGTGCCACTTGTGGAAGATACAAGTAGGCTAGTTTGATGCCATGATGTACATGTACAGTACATCAAATGTACAGGCACCAGTTTAGCATTTAGTTAGTTTTCTTCATCCAAAACCAATCAAATTGATAACGATGTGCCTTCAATTTTGTCAGGGGAGCAGAAAGCGTAAGTGAGCGCTATCCCAGGAAATTTTAGGATGAATGTCGCTTGACTTCATTTGTTTTCTATCTTGACTCCATTTTCTATTTCGGCTTTGATCTCTATCTTGACTATACTATCATTGTCCAGGTAAGACGTCCACTATCGTGGCTCTGGTTAAGGTGTGTCTGGTGCTAGGATTGTCCGTACTGCTGACCAGCTACACTCACTCAGCAGTGGACAACATTCTCCAAAAACTGAAAAAGGTAAGGAGTCTGTGTTTTTGTTGCTACTGTACATCTCAAAAAATCTGCTTTGCATGGGCAGCTAACTTTTACGAATGCTGTAACATGGAAAATTTATGAGTATGACATACAATTTTATCACATAATGTACTGTGTTATCCAGTGAATAAACCCATGTCATATTATTTTGCGTATTAACCCATTGACCTATCAGGTCTGTGATTGGTTGTAAGATTCAATTGTTTCAATTGTGATGTCACGCCTAGGACAAGTACATGATTTCACATAGTTACACACTGGAGTCTAAATGGTGGCTTTTTACATTTCATGGTTGCATGAAAATTGTTGTTTTGCATGAATAAATGCCACAAATCTTGATTATGTGATAAAAAGGATCTTACACACGGTTTTCATTTCATATGAAACTTGTCACAAATTTTTCTGGTTTGGTCGCCAGAGGCTTGCAAAATTGAAAAGTTCTAAGACTCGTTTCATAAATCTCATATGAAATGGAAACTCATGTAAGATCCTATATTTATCAAATTCTTACTAGTAAAATATCAATTTAGTAAAAAAAAAATCTATCATCGCAGTATAGTAAAAGCAAATCCTACCTGAAACTAACAGAAAATTACAATAATTTGTCGAGTAGCCCATTCCAAATGACGTATTTAGTTCTGCTGTCCAGGGTAAAATCATTAGGGTGATAAAGTTACTCTATCCCACTCTTTGTTGATATGCGATAGTGATTTTTTGACAATGTAAGCAATGGAAATTTTAACTATTTGTTGTATTCCAATGAAACTTCACATGAATATTGGGGCGTGTGCTTAGGTGTGCAAAACTCCTTTTTCCCCAGATGCACATCCAAGATGGCCACCACAGCCTCTGATTGATCGAAATTAAATATTGGTCGATTTTGCTCAAATTTGATATATAGATGTATTTCTGCATCTTTGCGACTATTGGGGCTGTTTGGGGGACTTCTGTAAAGGCACTTTCATCGAAACGGGGGATATTAATTTGGGTTTGTCCATCTGTCTGTCTGTCTGTCACACTTTGTTTCCGTGCAATAACTACAACAAATATTAACTGATTTTCTTCAAACTTGGTCACACGGTTTAGTGCCTTATAATTAAGGGCTCGCCACCAAGTTTGATGACCACTTTCAGCGGACCCCATTTGGCAGAGTTATGGCCCCTTGAAAAACGTCATTATCTTGTTAACCGATTTTCTTCAAACTTAGTAACAGGGTTCAACACATTAAGGGCTCGGTCAATTTTGACAACTACTTTAATCGGACTCCATTTGGCAGAGTCATTATCTGCAGTTTCTGCTTAATAACTCTATCAAATATAAGATAAGGCTTTTTTTTTCTTCGAGTTTCAAGCTATACACAATGTCTCAACAGCACGATACTCGCATGTGTAAACCTTACCTCAATAATGTTTACCTACAATATGTCCTGAAAGCGGGGGATTAAATTCCACGAATTTGTTTGTTCTTTTTTCTCCTTCTTTTTCTCATTAAAATTTTGTCTGCACGTTTTCTCTGAAACTATTTGTTGGATTCCAATGAAACTTAACATGAGTATTGGGGCATGTGCCTAGATGTGCAAGACACATTTTTTTTTAACAGCTGCGCATCCAAGATGGCTGCCACGACCTCAAATATATAAAATTAACACATTTATACGCTAAGGTGATACCATTTGCCCCTCTCATTTCATATATTGCTTCAGCTTGGTATGTAAGTTTGTAATGTCACTGTTAACTCTACCCCCACACCTGTTTTGCAAACCTTTGCGACTATAGGCCTGGGGCAGTTTGGGGGACTTCTGTAATGGTCCCCCATTACAATCAGTACTTTTTATTTTCAGATTATCTGGTACTTTGATACTATAATTGGCTAAAATTTAATGTAGACACTTTTTATGTAATTAATAACTTGAATTGTATTTAAAATTCTAAATATCAGTATTGCAAACAGTTGCTGGCTTTCCCCTTATTATATGCTACCCTTAAAATCTTAAATTTCAGGATAATGTTACTTTTGTGAGACTTGGAAAAAGTAACAAGATCCACCCCGACATACGACAATTTTCTGCGGACCATCTCACCAAAAACCTTAACACTGTTGGAGAATTGCGGGAGTTCTACCATTCTCAGGTACAAAGGTTAAAGACAATTTATATAGGAAGGTCACGGTCATTACTGGCATGCATAGCATTCTTTTATTGTTGTTTGACATTATTTGATGGTTTGGTAAGCCTTCATTGCAAACAGCTTTGCTAATGTTGGACAGCAAAACAGCATCTTAAAACAATTTGTGGATATTTTTGTCTGATTGAGATTGTACTTTGTAAAAAATATATGCAAATATCAGATAAAATATTTAGATAGAGATACCAGCAGCCTGTTCAGAAAGGTAATACAACTTCGTCTTTGTTTTTTCTTTCTGGTGATTTACTAAAGACAACATTCATTACAGTGCATAATGTAAAATGTGAACATTTTTGTGTTTGCCATGGTTTTATTTTTTTTTTGGTTTTCATACTCTTTACATCTAGTAACTGTAAATAAATATTTGTGTGTGAATATTTTTTTGCTAATTTACTCGGCGCGAGTAATTCCACGCTGAAAATTCTACTTTGATTTAGCTCTGCATCCTTCCATCGTAATGCATTGATAAAGTAGATATTGTTGTGAGACTGTAACAACATTTGTTATTGTAACGTCATCAATTTCATTAATATTATTGTCAATACTTAATTTGCTGTTCAAAAACTCTTCGAAATAACTAAATAAATAAGTAATGAATATTTTAGCAAATAAATTGTTATGGTCCTATAACGCACATTTCTATTGCTGACAAACTAACATTAAGCCCTACCTGGTTTTATTATTTAGCTTGTCATCAATAGCAATTTGTGTTATGGGACCATAGCAACATTTTCTAAAACATTAATTGCTTAACAATTTGCTGAAGAAAATTTCCCATTAGGTCTACATGTAATTATTATTATTTCTAACTCTCCCAGAAAATAGTTGCGACCAGTTGCTTAGGAGTGAATCATCCCCTGTTTACCCAGCGCCGATTTGACGTATGTATAGTGGACGAGGCGTCACAGGTGTTACAGCCGGCTTGTCTCGGCCCGCTGTTCTCTGCGGACAGATTTGTACTTGTGGGCGACCCCAAACAGCTCCCACCAGTGGTACAAAGTCAGGAAGCAAGGTAACACTGGAACCATCGTGTTTCTGTTATTAGAAAGTCAAAGACCCTGGCCAAATTCAACAAGGATATTTAAGCAAATTTTGGCAATTTGTTTGCATTTTTGGCCGGATTGCAACACAATTAGGGCTTATAGATTGGCGATTCCCGTCCATCTGTCTGCCCATATGTCTGTCCGTCCGTCCGTCCGTCCGTCCGTTTGTCTGTCTGTCTGTCCGTCTGTCTGCATTAAGGTTAAGAAGAATGGTTAAGCTCAGTTTCCAAGTTATTAATCATCCCACATCAACTTAACTTGCATGTCTTATAGATGTATCTATGGATGCTAATCACATGTGATGCTTCGGATGCTTCTTCTGACCTACATTTTCCGCTTGACTGACCAGATTAAGAAGATTGGTTAAGGTCACTTACCAAGTAACTAAACTTGCATGGCCTATGTATCTTAAAGGATGCTTATCACATGTGATGTTTTACATGAAAATGTACTGTAGCAATCCGGCCATATTGCCATTGGCGGTTTCTTGTTTTATAACTAATACTATTATCCATATGTTGTAAAGTGCTTTAGAGTATTTAGGGGGCTATATAAATGTTGTATATTATTATTATTTTCATTTCTGTCTCCTATGCATTTCATTAACCAACTGTGATTTAATTGGGTATTTGGGGGGGGGGTCAAAGTTCATACCTTGAGAAAATAGTCTTTCTATCTTTTACAAAGTTAAAAGCAGTGTTTTTACATAAAATAGGGCAGTGACCTCTTTGACAGGAAAACAAACTCTGAGTCCCTTCACTAAATTAACATTATTTTAACAGAAAAAGGCGCAATTTATTAATATTAAGTATCATTTTCAAAAATGAAATTTTGATCAATATACCAATTAATTTTTGTCCCAGTCATTTCAACCCTTTGCCAATATTGTTTTCTTTTCTCAAGTTTGATATATTTTCCCCCTTTTGGAATGTACATGGATCATGTAAAAACATAAAACTTACATCACTATATGTAGATGCTTGACAATAATTTTGTACTAAATGATTAACTCAATTATATAAACCATAGATACTTCATTGCACAGTACAGGACAAAAAATTGCTGAACAATATCAAGATTTGTATTGCTATTTCATCAAATCTTTTGTATAGTTTGTCATGTAGAATTACAAACAAACATATCTCTATTTTCATTTGTTAAAGGAGTATTGGAATGGACGAGAGTTTGTTTCAGCATTTGGATGACAACGGTGCGACGTTTGACCTGAATCTGCAGTACCGCATGAACAGGTAAGGCTAATGTGACAAAGAACAGAAATCAAAAGTGATCTACTCGCTCACCTTGCATACTTGCCAACTTTTTGAAATTTCCGTGGGGGAGATTACACGTTCTCAGAATTAAAGCATAAATAAAATGAGTGTATGTATGCCCTAGGGGAAAATAACACTTTTAAATAGCATCTTTTGATCTGTTCTTTCAGATTTAATCATCAGATCTTTGAAAATAGGACTAGCTTAGCAAATTCACTGGTTGAAAATGCTAAATTTTAGGGTCCAAAATCGGGAGTTTACCTCCTAAATAGGGAGAGTTGGTAAGTAGCTACTGTCCCCATTGCAATACTTGGAATCTATATTTTCCTTTCTCTAAAACCTTCTCTCTCCTTTTGGCCGTGTCTTTTTAGGCACCCATCTTCCTATAAGCTTGGCTGTTGGCTGAACACATTATATCTCCAGCACACATGCAGGCATACACACATAGGGAGATATTAGCCAGGTGGCATAGGACTAGTAATAAGCGCCTGATAAGGCAGCTGCTGCGAATTCCTCAAAATTATTTTGATTAATGTATATGCTTATTGTATTAATTGTACATCTATGTATTGTAAAGCACTTTAGAGTGGCTTAAGTTAGCTAGATAGGGCGCTATATCAAATGTTGTATATTAACTCATTCACCCCTGAAGACACATTTGAACCCTTCCAATTCAAAGGTTGGAATAGTTCATTATGAAACTTCAGGGGTCAATGAGTTAATATTATCATTATTAAACCCCAAACAAACAAACATCTTTAGCCTTGTGCTGTGACTTGTTCAGTGTGGTGTTGCTGCCACTACAATAATTCTGTATACTGGAGGAGTGGCTTCAATACTAAACAATTCCGTCTTTGCGTATTGCAGAGTTATCTTCTCTTGTGAGCAGGTATTGATTGTTATGTGATTGCAATTGGTTTGTGTGAGAAAATTACATCGGTTTCTCAAAAATTGATGACGTTAATCTCGCAAACAAATGACGTAACAATAAATACCTGCTCACAAGAGCAGATAACTCTGCAATACGCAAAGACGGAATATGTTTATCATCGGCAAGATGTTATGTACATGTACAATGAAGCAAGCAATACTCTCTGTTTGATTTGTGTGCATACTTTATAGTTACTGAAGAATCATTTATTTTCGTTTGGTTAAAATTTCGTGATTTTCATATACTTGCCTGTTTCAGGGTCATTATTTTTCGCTGATTTCTGATTTTCTCCTATCTATATCATACCAAATGTATGTTTTCGTGGGAATTGAATTTCGTGGATTTTTGTTATCCACGAAATAAACAAAATTTAATGTCCCACGAAAATGTATATCTTTTGATCAATCACAGGTTAGTATTAAAGTGTATACTGTATAACAGGAAAATTTTCACCACAGTTTAACTTTTGCCCATTTTTTAACTTTGGCAATGAGGGCGTATTTAACATCAGAGCCAACGTTAGTCGGCAACATATTAAATTTAGCAATCAAATGTGAAGAGCGAAATAGACACTGGGCGAATATGGGTTTTAACAGCGTAGGGTGAAAGTTTGACAGGGCGAACATTTCCTGGTATACAGTATATGATGGTCAACAGACAGCTTCTCATCCTCGATATTCAGAGGATACGCTCACTTTGGCTCTCTACACCCCTGGAATATGTCACAGCAAAATTGAAGGCACGAAGATAGCTGCTTGATTAGTCTCAGGTAAAAAAACTGACCAATCGCTAGGCTGATACTTGTCCTTTGAAGATTACAAAGGAGATCGAGACGCTCGACTATAAAGCCTGTTAATTTGTACTGTTACGTGACCGCGAGATTAGTTTAATGTACACCCAAAGATCAAACTAGTCTTCTTGTCTCATCAACAAGCTAGGTGGAGCACACCGAGCCTTCGATTTTGCTATGACATATTCCTTGGGTGCAGAGAGCGAAAGTGAGCATAGCCCTGGATATCGAGGATGACAGCTTCTTTACTGATTTAGTTACTGACATGTGAAAGCTTATTTACCTTCTTGTTTCCAGTGCTATAATGTCCATTAGCAACACCTTAGTGTATGGAGGTGCTCTAAAATGTGGAAATGACATGGTGGCCATCAGTGAACTGGTCATCCCTGACCCCATCGCCCTACAGAAGGTAGAGTGTCTTCAAAAGATATCATATACAGTGTGACCCCTAACCCCTTATCCCTACAAAAGGTAGCATGTCTGTACTAGTTATCATATACAGTGTGACCCCCAACCCCATCGCTCTACAAAAATTACAGTGTGACCCCTGACCCCATCGCCCTACAAAAGGTAGCGTGTCTGTACTAGTTATCAAATACAGTGTAACCCCTGACCCGGGGGCCCCATCGCCCTTCAAAAGGTAGCCTGTCTGCAAAATTTATCATATATAGTGTGACCCCTGACCCCTTTGCCCTACACAAGGTATCGTGTCTGTACTAGTTATCATATACAGTGTGACCCCTGACCCCTTCACCCTACTAAAGGTAGCGTGTCTGTATTAGTTATCATATACAGTGTGACCCCTGACCCCATCGCCCTACAAAAGGCAGCGTGTCTGTACTTGTTATCATACAGTGTTACCCCTGACCCCTTCACCCTACAAAAGGTAGCGTGTCTGTACTAGTTATCATATACAGTGTGACCCCTGACCCCAT